AGTCCATTTGCGAGTCGATGATGGACTTGCAACTGGGACAAAAGTGGGTTAGGGTCAGTTGCGTAAAGAATGATGGACTTGCAATCAGGACAAAAAAACAAGCGGGCCCAATTGCGAATCATTGGTTGACTTGCAACCGCGGCTAAAAAAAGGATCAAGAGCCTAGTTGTGAGTCAATGGTTTTCTTGCAACTAGAATAAAAAAAAGGGTGGGCGTAATTGCGAGTTGATGATTGACTTGCAAGTGGGACAAAAAAAAGTCTGCCCCTAGTTAAGAGTCGATGGTGGACTTGCAACTGATGCGGAAAAAAAGTTAGCTCAATTGCAAACTGAGTGTGGACTTGCAACTAATGCAAACAAAGAGTCGGTTCCAATTGTGATACAAAAAAAATATGGAGTCCATTTGCGAGTCGATGATGGACTTGCAACTGGGACAAAAGTGGGTTAGGGTCAGTTGCGTAAAGAATGATGGACTTGCAATCAGGACAAAAAAACAAGCGGGCCCAGTTGCATGTCGGGGGTGGACTTGCAAATGGGAAAAAAGGTTAGAACCCCCCAGTTGCGTGTCAAGAATGGACTTGCAACTGGGACAATAATGGGCCAGACCCGGTGACGTATCGAGGGTGGAGTTGCAATTAGGACAAAAAAACCTAGCCCAGTTACATGCGAGAGGTAGACTTGCAACAAAAATATGCAACTGGGTTGGGCTAGTTCCATGTCAAGGATGAACATGCAATCAGACGATCGAGTAGGGGCTGGGCAAATTGCGTGTCGAAATTGGACATGCAACTGGGTCATGCCAAGTTGCGTATCAATGATGGTTGCAACTAACCACAATTTCTTTTCACTGACTAACACAAAAGGTTCATTCATCTATTCTTACTAAGAAAACAAATATGTATTTGAAAAATGTTCTTGCATTTGAAAAAATACTCACAAATTTGAAAACATACACATTTTTTTAAATTTAAAAAATGAACTTAAATTCAGAACAAATTCAAGAATTGGATTTTTTACAAATTTGAAAGAATGTTCACTCGTTTAAGAAGTATTCATGATTAAAAAATGTCATAAATTAAAAAATGTTTGCAAATTAAAAAAACAAAAAACAAACAAACAGGAAAACATAAAAAAAAACGAAAGTAAACATGGATGAAAAACAGAAGAAGAAAAAAAACAAGATGGGCACGTCCATCTATTCCCAGCCGCTCCCCTCCATTCATAAAAACCAAGCAGCCCGAAGTAGTACAATGGGCCACGGCCACACAGAGACATAAATGGGCTGACAAAAAAGAAGAAAAACAGGTCAGCAAAATTTGTTTTTTTGAGGTTTGGGTCAACAATCAAACGTGACACGGAGCGCACGACAGAAACAACTAAAAATAAAAAATTACTGTGAAAACACTGCGATAGGCTCTGACCCCACATTTTTTTTGGAAAATAGCCTCAAAACACTGTACATGTACTGTTTGCTGTGATAAAAATATATATAAATTACCATCGACCCCACAGACTCTTGAGATTTAGCAAAACCGTTTCTGTTAAGCAGGCCGACTGTACCCGGAATTACACTTTCCCCTTTCGCCTCGTCCTCCTCCTCTTGCTCGCTTTACCTACTATATCCCTCCAGAAATCTCCCCCGTGCAAGATCTCCCACCGCCACAGCTACTCGCCCTCGCCTTCCCTGTCGTTTCGCAGCGATGGATGAGTGGGAAGGCCAAGCCGAGCACTGGGTTTACGTTGCTGTCGCCGTGGGTGCGGTGACGATTCTGATGCTGGTTGCCGGTGAAGCCTCGCCTCGTCCTCCTTCCCGACCTCGCTTTTGCCCCCCACCTCGCCCTTGCTCTCGCTATGCTTCCTCAGCGATGGATGCGTGGGTTTGCCAAGCGGAGGCGTGGGCAGGCCGAGTCGAGCACCGGATCTGTCAGCAAACCCCGGAGCAGATTTACCTTGCTGTCGCCGTGATTGCGGTGACGGTTCTGGTGCTGGTCGCAGGTGAAGTACCAAACCTAAGCTTCTTCTCGCCTTGTATCTTTGCCAAACTTTTACGTATATATCGCGGGCAATTCCATTCCATTTCGCGGTAGCTTGTCCCAGCCGCTAAGCCATTTAGCGGCAACTCTAGATGTGCATATTCAGCCAAAGTACAGTGGATTTTCAGTAGGAAAACAGAGTATATAACCAATTCACAAAAAAGTGAAATCGAACAAGCATCTTCAGTTAAAAAAAAAAGGACCAACAAGCATGGGATGGTGAAGATTCACATCGCCACGTAAATGGCATGAATCACAGCTCGTGAGGCACGGACAGAGATGACTTGCATGAGGGACTGAGATGTCATCGTTCAGATGAGGAGGTCCCCCTCGTCGCCTGCTGGCTGCTGCCTCGAACCCTTGTCCGCTGATCACAGCCTCGCCCGTCACTGCTTCCGCCGCCGAGCGCAGCTGTCAAGAACAGTCGAGCCGCCGCCGCAAACCTTTCCAGATGGAGGGAGAGAAGGAGCTAGGTTTCCTGGACGACGAGCTGCTGTCTCTCTCTGCGGGGCAAATTTGGGCCGAGATGTTTGGGCCGGCCTCTCTGCTTCGGCCATCTGAGCCCTGCAGCGAAATTCAAGCCACCACGATATCTGCACTTTCGCCCGCTATCTTAACCTTTGATCTTTGCCCCTGAGTCTTGAGGATGCCGTGTTTTTTTTTTTTACGAAAAAACTTCCAATCTATTCATCTTCAATCATGGCAGTACAACGAATACCAGAAATAAAAATTACATCCAAATTCGTAGACCACCTAGCGACGACTACGAGCACCGAAGCGAGCCGAAGGCGCGCCGCCGTCAACGCCCCTCCATCGCCGGAGCCGGGCATAACTTGTTGTAGTAGACAGTCGGGAAGTCGTCGTGTTAAGACCCCATAGGACCAGCACCCCAGAACAGCAAACGCTGCCGATGAAAAATAACGTAGATCGAAAGGATCCAAACAGAAGACACACGAACGTAGACGAACAACGACGAGATCCGAGCAAATCCACCAAAGATAGATCTGCCGGAGACACACCTCCACACGCCCACCAACGATGCTAGACGCACCGCTGGAACGGGGGCTAGGCGGGGAGACCTTTATTCCATCTCCAGGGAGCCGCCGCCGTCTCGCCTTCCTGAGTAGGACACAAACCCTAACAAGATTAAAAAAAACGACTAAAAATGGAGCCCTCCCGCCGGCCCTTGCCAGGATCAACCGCGCCTCCATGGCCCTAGGGCCACCGGAGACGAGGCGGACCTACGCCGACGCCGGCGAGAGGCACGAACCCTAACTTTCTTTCTTGGAGGACGAGGAGGAAGGAGGCAGTGTGTGCGTATTCAGAAAAGAAAATCTTCAATTGAGGTGCCGTGTTTGGTGTAGTGAAACCTAGATAGATGTGGTAGTTAGTAAAGAGAAACCGGCTTGAGTACACTTTCAAATTTGCCCGGAAGCATTTTCTCTGTGGTAGTTGTCCCTTTTGTTTTGACGAATTGGCTAGCCGTGGATCTGGATGACCAATTTTCTAGTTAGCTGCAGTTGTGTTGACACTGGGGTTCAAATATGATTGAAGCACAATCGAGTCCAGATCATGCGGACAACTGATGTATAGTTGTAATTTAGAAATGCTGTGTTGAAGTGGTACCTTTGGAATTGAACTTACTTGAGTGGAAGCAGAAAAGCTGGAAGCTCCATCTAAATTTCAGAATTCAGCTGATTATTATATGTCTAGCGCCAAAAAAAGGAGGGACTAGTGTTTCTTAATCTAGAGTTAATTTATATTCAAAAGTGTGACGTTATTACTCCATGGTAATGTCTTGGTGTATATAATGGGTGCACGCAATGATGTAAAATGCCTTGCTGTATTCATCATTCTTGCTAAGGTTTCTGCTTTTGTGATATATAATTTCATTGGTGCTATTTGTGTAGTAATTAACATGCAGTTACTTTGTATGCTTGATTGTTTAACAGCTTCTCGTCCGAAGTCATCGAAACCTAACACCATAGTTCTATGCGGGCTTAGTGGCAGTGGCAAAACTGTTCTTTTCTACCAGGTATCATTCCAGTTCTGTATGCCGTCCTCTTTCTTTTGGGTCTCTCCTTATCTAGCGATACAACTATTTAACTCCTCATGGATTAACATGATATCGTAAAATATGACGAGAGTAATGACCATGCATACCTTGCCTCACAAACATGATTGTTGTCGTTTGTCCCTCTGTGTTGTCAAGTCATAGAAGTTTGGAATGACCAGTTTTACTCAGACACAGGCATTAGTGTCAAAACTGACATGTCCGGTGTGTCTGATTTGCCAACGATTTTTTGACATGGCATATAGCATTCATAAACTAACATTGATTTGGGTTGTCTGATTTGCCAACGATTTTTTGACATGGCATATAGCATTCATAAACTGACAATGATTTGGGTTGTCTGATTTGCCAACGTTTTTTTGTCATGGCATATAGCATTCATAAACTGACATTGATTTGGGTTGTCTGATTTGCCAACGATTTTTTGACATGGCATATAATATTCATAAACTGACATTGATTTGGGTGGTCTGATTTGCCAACGTTTTTTTGTCATGGCATATAGCATTCATAAACTGACATTGATTTGGGTTGTCTGATTTGCCAACGATTTTTTGACATGGAATATAATATTCATAAACTGACATTGATTTGGGTTGTCTGATTTGACAAAAATATGGGACAGTGTGGCTACGAGTAACACTGGGGATGACGTTATAATATCTGGTTTGCAATTTGCTCTTGTTTATGCGTCCTTTGATGCTCTGTATTCAGTATTTTATAAAATGGCCTTTTAGCTTAATTTCCACTCAGGTTGCGTTGGTCCCATACTGCCATCTGTCGTGCATCTCTCGACTCTTTCCCTTAATTTTACTGCATATATGATTTTGTACGGTGCATGCCTGCATGGCAAGATTTTGGAGAACAAAAACTACTTATCATTTCCTTTTTCATTCTTAGTTTTTTTTCCAGTGGAGGCGCAGGAATTAGACAGTTACCTTGTATTATCTTTTGCTATTGTGCTAATTTTTCATCTCTTGTTATTAGCTTCGCAATGGATCATCACATCAAGAAACTGTGACTTTGATGGAACATAACAATGATACATTTGTGCTACACTCGGAGCTGGAAAGGGTTAGAACTTTTTGGAGACAATCCTTGCTACACCTTGATATTAATATAACTATGTACAATCAAGGCTGCCGCTTTTATACAGAAACATACATTTGCTGACAGCAAGATTTTTACTCGACTTTGTTCTTGTCCTCTCCACAGCAAGGCAAAATAAAACCTATTCATGTTATTGATGTTCCTGGTCATGCAAGGCTGAAACCGAAGCTTGATGAAGTCCTGCCTCAGGCAGCTGGGGTTGTTTTTGTTGTCGATGCTCAAGATTTCTTGTCCAGCGTGCAAGCTGCTGCAGAGTAATGTTGCTGACCTACTGTCTGTTCTTTGGAAAATTGATTGGAAAATAAAACCTGCTGGATTCAAACTAGGAGTTTGACTAGGAGCTTATTTCATATTCAAACATGCTGGATTCAAACATGTACAAAGATGTTTGTTCTAAACTTCTGATGCAGTTGGTATTGTCTCACAGTATTCTCTTAACTCTTATGACAGGTACTTGTATGATATTTTGACGAAGGCAACTGTACTGAAGAAAAGGGTTCCTGTTCTGATATTCTGCAACAAGGCAGATAAAGTTACAGCTCACTCAAAGGAGTTCATCAAGAAGCAGTTGGAGAAAGAAGTGTATGTTTCTTTTTTCACATTTAACATTCTTGCAAAGTTGGAACTTAGAATGCATCAACTTGGGTTGGCATGTTTAACAATTCTGTGAATTTATAGGTATTTGCTAGATTAGATTAATACTGCAGCTTGAATGTATTTGTTTGTTTTTTTGTATATTATATGCTGGGGAAAAAAAGAGTTTACATGTATATTCTATTCATACTTCCGTGATCCTGCAACAACGGAGGTCACTTGGTAATTACTCATATATCTTGAATCACCTTCGACGGAGCATAACAGAACCATTTGCACTGACACGAACTTGTGCTAATCTTGTCATTTGTAGAAACAAGCTCCAGGAATCAAGGAACGCCATATCATCCGCTGACATCACTGATGAAGTCCAGCTTGGGGTCCCTGGAGAGGCATTCAACTTCAGTCAGTGCCCGAGCAAGGTGATAGTTGCTGAAGGTGCTGGTCTGACTGGCAATGTTTCGGCAGTCGAGCAATTCATCCGCGAGTATGTGAAGCCATAGGTTCACCTCTCACCCATGGTCATATCATGGTACGCCTGACGGCTGTTCCACATCGACAAGTACTAGGAGACAGTCAGCTGGAGGAGTGTTGTGTGCTTGAGAGCGTAATCGTTATGTGCGTGCTGTGAGAGTGAACCGCGTGGGTGTGGCGCAGTTATAAGCCACTGTAACTGTTCTGTAGGTCGATCCATTTCTGTAGCTTTTATTTCATTTTTGTCCCTAGTCCGATCCATTTCTTGGGGCAGGATATTAGGACTGTTCGATGGTGTTCATGCGAAATCTTCGTGTACCTCCAATGGTGTTCTTGCGATGCATAAGAGCAACTCTAACAGACCCCGTAAAAATTCGACCCGCAAAACGCGTTTGCGGTTTCACGACGATCGCATTTGTGGGTCGAAAACATGCGCCGCCGATCAGTTACCGCATCTAAACCTGCATAATTTGAAAAAATGCTTTTGCGGGAAAAATTGCACAAACCTAGTTTATCACATCGCATACTACACAGTTCATACTCCCTCCGTCCGGGAATACTTGTCATCAAAATGGATAAAAGAGGATGTATTTAGACGTATTTTAGTTCTAGATACATCTCTTTTTATTTATTTTGATGACAAGTATTTTCGGACGGAGGGAGTACATACTACATGATCAACAAACTAAGCATAGATCATACTACATGCTACGTTAACTAGTAGTATAGGGGGTCGTATTTGACGACGGCGAGGTCGCGACAAAATGGACGACGCCGTGGAGGCCGAGCGACGCTCAATCCTCCTCGCCGGAGCTGCACAGGTCCATGTACTTTCCCGCCTGCTCCGCGCGGATGCGGCGCCACTCCACAGCCTTGTCGTTGGCGGCGACCGCCTGCTGTCACTAGAGGGCTTCGAGCTCCTCGGCGTGGCGCCGGCGCTCAGCCTCCTCGTGCACGCTCCGCTCGGCGATGGCGGCGGCGATGGCGGCGAAGTCCACGACGTAGTCCTCGGGCCCGACGACTCCGCGGCGGCCGAGCAGAGCGGGCTCCTCGGGCTCCTCCTTCACCGGGACGAAGGCGAACGGCGCCGGCTGCTCCGGCTCCTCCTCCTCGTCCGACCACTCCCTCTTCACGGGGAGGAAGCCCGCGCCGCAGGACGAGGAGGATCCGGCGTAGGAAGCTCTCGCGGAGGAGAATGACGTGCTACGACGGTCGTACTCCTCCGTCTCGCGGCGGTTGAAGCTCGGCGGCGGCGACATCCCGCGGTTGGTCCACCTCCGGGCGCCGCGCTTCCTCGCATCGTCCGCCCGGACGCGCCGCTCATGCTCCTGGTCGCGCTCACGGCCAGATCTGCTGCCGGGGCCGCGCCTGGAGCTCCACGTTCGCCCCCACATGGCGGCTAGAGGCGGGGCGGGTGGTCGCCGGCGGCAAGAAATTGCGAGAGGGGAAAGAGGAATCGGGTGGCTCGCGGCGGCGGAGGGATAGGGTTTGGACCCGCAAAAGGGTCGTGAAACCGCAGTTATACTGCTCGGTGCGTGCGGTTTGCGGGCTGCGGCAAAAAATTTTGCGGACCGGGCGAGTATACGGGCTTTGTTCTGGCCGGAAAATTAAGCCGAACCTACATACTCGCCAGAATTTTTGCGGGCCGGGCGTTTTGCAGGGTCTGCTAGAGTTGCTCTAACTCTACTCTATGCATGCTCCTCACCCCGAGCCAGCCCACCGGGCATAGCATAGCTCGCCCTGTACATGCGCCACTATAACCCTAGACCTTGTATGCACCTATCCTAGACCTCTACCGCATACACAACTCCTACTCTCTACTACTCTCCACTTCCTCCTTTCCTAAATATATAAGTATTTTTAAAGATTTTAATATGAACTACATACGGACCAAAATGAGTGAATCTATGCCAAAATATATCTATATACATCCGTATGCAGTTCATATTGAATTAAAATCTCTAGAATTTAAAGACTTATATTAGAGAACCGAGGAAGTAAAATGTCAATTTAAAGATTCCAATAAGAATTTAAAGTGTAGATTCACTCACTTTGATTCGTATGTAGTCACTTGTTGAAATCTTTAAAAAGACTTATATTTGAGAATGAAGGAAGTAAAATGTCAATGTGGGACTTGATTGGTCACTAACCGGCGCCTCCTAACACTCCATCGCGTGCACATCCATCCTGCATGCGTTGCCAGCTCGGTTGTGACGGCAATGTCGCTGCGATGCGCGCGTGGCCCTTCCTCGTCCTCTCCAGTCCATCAAGGATTCTCAAATCACCGGTCATCCATCTCCTTGTCCTCGCCTCCTCATCTTCCAAGCCAACCTGAACCCAGCCCACTGGCGTCTCTGCGGGGAGAGACTGGGGAAGCAGCTCGCTTGGACTGCGGTGGTGGAGGAAGAGAATTCTTGCCGGTGGTGTTCACGTTGCACAACTTCATTTCAACTCTTAGTGCGTGTGGACCATTACTACGTGTCGAGCCGGCTGTTCTACTTACAAATTCCAGAGTTCATGTACTGGAGCACGGCAGGTATGTGTTTCACGAGACTTGACAGTCCAATGTACAGGAGGCATCATCGATCTTCTTGGAACAACAAGAGAGCTGGAACTCCAAAAAAAACAGAGTACTCTGCTTTTCCAAGAGCAGAGTACGAGCAGTCGTTCAATTGTAGTCCCAATAAGTGTCGACTCCATGAAATTCGAAAGAAAAAGAAGGCAAACAATAATGCAAACCTCAAGTCATTTTACAAACAGAACATACAAACTTCAAAATAATAATATGTGTCAATACAAGCCTACTCTACCGTCGATGTGGGTAATGGTTGGATATTATTTGACAAATCTGGCCCCTATCAGCGGCTTCAGCCACATCTGACCCCTGCGCAAAACTATTTTGGAATCTGGCCCCTAGTGTCGGCGCCACACAACTTGGAGCCCAAGATGTGCATCTCGGCTCCAAGTTACCTGGCGTCAAGCATGTGGGCCCAACTGGACCCCCGTTCCTCCAACATATGGCATAACAGCTGACGTGGCATATTCGGCGCCAGGTGTTTTGGTGCCGAACGAGGTACACGTAGGTTCAATGTGCACATTCGGCGCCAGGTGGGGTGGAGCGGACTAAGTAAGTTGCGGCGCCGTATAGTATGGCGCCAAGCTCTGGCTATGGTTAGTTACCCGCATCGATTCACCCCAGTCCCTAGCCAGTGATTCATGGATCGCAGTTTACGATTTATCGAGAGGGGTCACGATGTGGTCTCTGTCACCGCACCTAGCCCACAGGCGGTCGCCGCCGTTCAGCCCCAGCTAGTCGGCCCCCCAGCCCCAGCGACTCGTCGTCGATGCCCCAAGCCACGAACCTCGTCGATTGAGGTCCCGCCACTCCACCAGGGCGACCAACCTCATTCTATCTCTGCCCCGCACTCCCTCCCAGCCCTCTTCTCCGCAACCACGGCGGCCCGTGTCTTCTCCATCGCACCTCTTCTGTGGAAGTGAAGGTATATCTCCACCGCCCATGTTTCTTATTTGGTTAATTTTTCACATAATAAATGCATTTAAGATGATACTAGGTTAAGGTGATGTCTTGTGGTTTTCCTATGATTTTGATGTCATATTTGCTATATTTGATGTGATGTAAATGTTAGGATGTATTGTAGGCGCTAATGGGTAAAGTTATCTTTTTTTGGTAATGAATATAGATGGCTTACTCAAAGGTACTTCATGTTCATCACGGAGGGTGTGTGACCTCCCCAAGTAGTGGTGTAGAGTTTGTAGACATGACGACGCAAGTTGTGTTCTTCCCGCATAGTACTAGTTTCAATCAGGTTACTGCGGAGCTGAGAGAGGTGTTGGGTTGGACCGACATTGGCGATGATGTTCTTATAGAAGGAACACACAATGTTGGGTGTACCCTTCGGTCGTTTACTCAGATGATACCTATCCGTGGCATAGACGAGTGGGATTTATACAAGGAGCTTGTTGAAGGGTCCCAAATAAGATCTCTAACACTACTGGAATCAGCTACTTTGCCATCAGCCAGATCTTTGCCGTCCGCGACAAAAAAGCTCTTTGTCGTCCGCTACCGAAAAGCAGACGGCAAAGAAACGGCAGATGACAAAGAAAGTCTTTGCCATGTGCCATTTTTTTGCCGTCCGCCAGCTGGCGGCAAAGAATCTTTGCCGACCGCTGGCTGACGGTAAAGAGGGAGGTGCCCCCCACCCCCCCGCCCGTTTAAAAAAAATTTAACGCCCCACCTCTTTGCCGTCTGCTAGCAGACGACAAAGAGAGATAAAGGCGGATGGCAAAGAGCGGCGGACGGCAACGAGCAGAGTAACTAACGGACGCCACACCCCCCCGCCCGTTACTCTCTCTTCTCTTCCTCTCCTCCCCGACGCCCCGCCCTAGCTAGATCCACCGCCGCCCCCGCCGCCCG